TGAATGAGAAAGTGATTCCTGCTAAGTTGTCACAATGAGGAATAAAAATCACTTTTCCGCCCATAACAATATTAGAAAAGCCAGATGCGCTGGAATGTCCTGCTTCCCCAAATAGGAGCACACTTCTTTTGTACTCATACAACAGAGCAGCTGCACGGCAGCATCTGACCATCACTTTGGCACCCTGACAAAGTGGCACAGTGCAGTAACCACTGGGGAAGACAGAACTAAAGCCTTGCCCATGACAAATAAGATGGGGTTTTTAATTTATATTTGATTTACTCCTTTTTAAAAATCTAACCTTTAATTCCTCTGAGGAAATGTACCCGCATTCATAGATGACTATTTTGAACAATAGCTTATTTTCATAAGCAGTGCAGGGTAGCACATGGAGGGAGAGGCAGTTGTTCAGAGGCTAGACCATCATACCCTAAATCAACCCATATTTGAAATTTTTTTCAGTTACAGAATGAAAAATTAGGTTTATAAAAGCAGGCTGAGGTTGGTTTACCAGCGCTTCTAAGACTGTCTGGAGTCCTATGAGTAGATAAAGACAATGGAGTGGTTTCAGCTGTAAAAGGTGTTTTGGCTCCATTCCGCTCCCCTTGTTATTTTGGAAAGTTTGGCTAACTGGTTGGGATGACTAGGGTGCTAATTTTCAGACAGTGATATCTAAATAATTACCTCATGTGGCTTAAATTTGAGAGTTCACACTGGCCCGTGGACACAGTGGTTCAGTGTCGTGGCCACACAGCTTGTGTCTCTGCGCACCAGCAGAGAATCTGGATAATGTGTCCTGTATAGGTTGTTAGTGTGCTGGGTCCTTTACTAGCACCCATGCACAACATTTCTTAGGATATTGTGTTATCTTGCTGAATATAAGTCCACCCATAGGTTACCTATTATTGGTTTTGACAGTATATGCAAATACTGTAAAGATAAAAGAACCCATATAAATATTTCCAAAGTTTTCTGAAAGTAATTCCAGGAGTTGCTAATTCATTTATGAAGAATGTGACTAGTTAACCAAGTTTTTACAGGAAGGCAGTAGAGTACACTGAAAATAGAGTCTGAATATTGCACCTGCAATGACCATTTTCAAAGGTTTTTTGAAACAAAAGGTAAAACAAGCCATAAATGACAGGGCTGCACACAAAGCTGAAATAATCCAGCCAGAAGGTGGCATTGCACGAGTCCTTAGAAGGACTTAGATTGCACGAGTGCTAAGAAGTTAATAAAAAGATCAACTATTATGAGAAAGGCAGCCAACAACAACAACAAAACCAATCAACCAACCAAAAGCCCCTAAATTTCCGTGATTATGCATGGTATTTCTGTTACACTGATCTGTTTTTTGAAGGAATTCTGATTCTTGCATCTGATTGTGACACACGGAGAATTTTTGTAATTTTTCTGAAATATTTCCTTGCTACAGAAAATATGTGGACTTATATCTGTACCATCACTTTGCCTGGAAAAGAGGAAGAAAAGGGAGAAGCCAGCGTTTGCTAAGTATGAGAGAAACACAGAAACTGCTGCAGGCAATAGGTGCCGTATATTCTCCAATAATGTTAGTATTTAACCCTGAGAAAACTGTGCTAAAGACGAGCAAGAGTAAAATTGACTAGCTGTTTAAGAAAATTACTTCTATCATAGGGATGGTCATTTTGGTGATGTAATGAGGTGGATCAAAGACAGTATGATGGCAGTCAAGAGAAAGAAATCGGACAAAAAGGAGAGGCGCCACGGGCAACTGCATCACAAGATGTTTGTAGGAGAGAGACAAGAGTTTGTAGGAGAGAGCTCCAAGACACAGGTGTGATTTGATGGAGCTGGCTGTGCCATGGGACATAACATAACACTAATGAAAAATCAGTTTTGACCATGGAGCAGACCAGAAACTTGGTGAGAGAGTGGATCGCTGGAGATGATGTATGTTCCCCCTTTGTGCGTGTACATAGCACAGGGGCAAAGCCCACGCCTTGTGTTTCTAGGCCCTGAATTGTTAAGTGTACCTTGCATTTCTAGGACCTAAAATCTTGACAAAGTCAAAGCAGTATTACACCAGCTGTGAGCTCTAGAGGCCAGATGAAGCCATGATTTGGCAGCATGAAGTATTCACCAAAGTATTGCAACATAGCCAGTCTTGGGGAAGAAAACTAGATAAAACAAAATTGCTTAAACATTGAAGGACAAGATCTGGGGTAAGATTTTGGGGAAAAAGGTGTTCTTGAGCACATAAACCCTTCTTTGGGTCAAATCTCACCTCTCCCGATTTCTTTAAAACATATTTAAAATGAGCTTGATTACAGTGTTACAACAGTTCTAGAGACAAATGCGACAGTTGCAAGTGCTGTGCTTGTCACTTCTGTCACTTGGTATCTGAACTGAGGGATGAGGCGACAAAATTTGGCCCTTAGCTCCGCTGATGTCAGGTACCTGCAGTGTCAGCATACTCCGGTCATGCTCGAGCTCTGAAATTAAAGTGTCTGCGGGCAGGATCCCAAGTGCAGGATGGAGCTCAGATGTCCCTAGCTGCCCGGTATGAAAATGCTGATGTGGGCTGGTGGCACAGGCCAGGTTCCCCCCTCCCAGCTGGCTTTGTACCTCCCAGTAGCTACAGCCTCTGCTTGCAGGCACGGAGCAAGAGAAGGCTGCTGCCGACCCGTGTCAAACAGATATTTGCCGGTTTTCCTCTCCTCTCAGAGGGCTCCCTTCCCCTGCCTCTCCATCTCACTCCTGTCTACACCCCAGAGCACTATCAGATTAATTTTTTTGTGTTTAAATATCCTTTCTCTTGTTAAAATCCAAAGCTGCTTTGGATTTTCTCCATCCTGCATTTTAGTGGAAATATGTAATTGAAAATACAACTGAAAACACTCCTCCTTTCTTACAATAAAACTGGAATATTCCTGGTTTCTATGTAGCTAAAAAGACTTATGGATGTCTCTTGAGAAACTGCACATCCTTTTCTGTGTCAGTTTTCTCTGTAACGCTTCATTGATGCTTTGTTGCTGCTGCAGCCATGAAGACTGGCACACAACAAATCCAGTGGGAAGATGATTTGATTAGGTTATGTAAATGGAAGAATAAAGAAATTATTTTAATATATTACAGTTACAGCTGTCTACGCCATTTTGCCAGGAGTTTCTTGGAAATATTGCTTTCATTTACTTAATTTTCACTAAAGCTGATTAAAATATTGTAGGTTTCTTTGTCAAAAAAAACCCCATTATAACTTAAAATTGGATGCTGACTATTGAGTATTAATTTACCTGAACTCATGTCGTCTTTGGCATATTTTCATTTTGCATAGAAAAATTACTGCCTGTAAACTAAGACCTGTAATTTAAATCTTGAAGAATTTCTTTTGGAAATGCTACTGCAGTGTCTCCAGAGAACTGCCATTTGGATGTTTTATGTTATTGCTCACTTTCTTCACCTCCAGAACATGCCTGCCTTCAGAACTATAGTTATATCAGTGACTTCATGCTAAATATTTGTTAAGTGCTCTGCAGTATTAAGGTATAAAAGAAAAATCAGCATAGCACTTGCAAAAATCAATCAATCTATTTCTCAAAAAGTTTTCAGCTGGCGTTTTTGCAACCCAAAGATATTACTTTTTTTTTGTTTGGTACCCCTATTTTAATAATAGGTTTTGTTGACTTTTTTTCTTTAAAGCTGCCTTTGCCTGTGGGCTCCACGGGAGGGTAGGAAATCCTTTCTCACTGTTCAGGCTGTAACAGAAAAGATTAAAAATAAAAGTGAACTTAACTATTCTGACTGCAGGCAGGTACTGCAGATAATACCTGTGAGTTGCTGAGTTGGAAACCAATTAAGAATAAAAATACAGCAATTGTTTGAATAAAGATCACTGGTTTTGAAGACGCCTCTAAATGTTGCTGTTAGAGGCATTACAAGAGGGAGGCTGTGTCGGTTACCTGGCCGGGATACTCTTAAGCATGTCTTGCTGTCCTGCATTTTCAAACTGGGATGTACCAAAGAGGAAGAGGACCATGGAGGTTCTCTCAGACTGAGGTGCCCACCTGGATGTGGGAGCCCGAACACCCTTCTGAATCCAGGTCTGGAAATGTGTCCTCCAAGGGCAACATTAGCTCTTGCTGGAATCATTCACAGAAAAAAGATACGAGAAGTCCTAACTCTTCTGGCTGCTGCCCTGAGGAGAAGAACATGGTGTGGATTTGACATAGACCAAAATTCATGCTAAAACAGTTCACTCTGTAGTTTGGAAAAATAGATTAATGGGTGAGCATTTGTTCAGGAAAAAAACCAACCAAACCAAATCAAACAAAAAACCAAACCAACTTAAAATGATCTTTAAAGAGAGGAAAAAATGAAGAGATCTGCAGTGCTTGCATCAGAACACAAATGGTGTACCTCATTGAACTGAATGTGATTAATATGTTAAAGCAACAGACACTTAGGTTCTCCTGTGTGCCAGCAGATTTGGTCCACAAAAAATCCCTGTCACTCTGATGCCCTAGGTTTTGTGCAAAGCAGTGCTTGCTTTGTTTAGCACAAAGTTGAGCACCAGTACCAAGTTTAACAGCAGGTGGAACAGCACGGCATACCACAAAGTCGTTGAGGAAACAAATCCCACCATCTGACAGATGTGCAAGTTCTCTTGGCCATAAGAACTACTGAAGAATAACTAGCTGCAGGCTGCAAGCTGGGTAGCAAGACTGACTAAGTAGGTACTGCTTTAGCATCCAAGGGCACACACTGGACATGCACAAGGACATGACACACTGAAGCTTCACTGGTAGCTCAAAATTATTCCCTGAAGATTTGAGTCTGGAAGAAATATCTTTTTATGAGATGTAATGTTTTGGGCTGACTCTGAATGACTTATGCTATATGTTAATGAAGTAATTTAATCACTACTTAAAATGTCTCCAATTGCATCATATGCCACCAGATAGACATTTAATACATAGAAGAATTTTCAGAAATGCCTAAACGTGGACTTAGAGACTTAATTAGACACCTAACATTAACTTAACACCTTCTTGTGTAACTAACAAAGGATTGAAACTCACTCTGCAGAATAGTTGTGTACAGTTACAAATATTGCTGGCAGGAAACATTGTGAAGACACTTAAAAAGGATCTGCAGTAGCTTTCAAGTCTAGTGTTATATTTTTTGTAGCCCGTCGTCTGACTCATGGTTTCCCTGCTGGAAGGATCTCCATATATTAATGGATTGCAGAAAGAATTTAAATACCCAAGCCAGTTTAGAGCATCAAACAAAAGTAAAGGAATTGACAAATTTAAAAATGGATCAATTAAGATTGTGAAAAAACAAGAAACCAGCATATCAAGAAACCCAGCATAACTATACCTAAAGTCTTGTCAGCTTTCCTATCTTTATTCTTAGAAAGTTCATTTTTCTTAACAGTTTCTGTGTGTCTGGCTCAACTCACATGTGTGCCTTTGGGAGACTGTAAACATTTTAACATAAATCCCTATTAAAATACAAACAGGAACAAAAAAACCAACTGTAAATAAAACAGTCCCCTACAGTTTGTTGAACACAATAGGGCACAAGCTCAAGCATTTAACCATCATTTCATAGCCCTCAATTCCAGAAGCATAAGCTTCTGAGAAAACCACACCAAAAGCAAGAGCAGCGGGCACTGACCAGCAGACTGCTATGATTTGTTTTATGGCCACAACAGTCATGGTGCTGGTGTAATGCAGAGGGTGGCAGATTGCATAAAACCGATCCACAGCAATGGAACAAAGATGGAAAGTGGAAGCTAAGCAGAGCATCAGGTCGAAACCATAGTGAACTTTGCAGAATGTCATCCCAAAACCCCAGCAGTTCTCCACGGGTCTCACCATGCTGTAGGGTGTAATGGCAAAATCCAGCAGGAAATCCGTGATGGCCATGGATAGGATGATGAAATTGGTCAGAGAATGAAGCTACTTGAAATATGAGATGGAAACGATTATGGCCAGATTTCCTAAGATGGTGAGAATGAACAGAAACGTT